CTGAGAGAACGTGTCAGCAGCCCACCCCATCACAGAGACGGGCTTTCATAGGGGGTGGGGTGTGTGTGTGTGACTGAGAGAATGTGTCTGCAGCCGTGTGTGTATGACTGAGAGAATGTGTCTGCAGCCGTGTGTGTGTGTGTGTGTGTGTGTGTGTGTGTGTGTGTGTGTGTGTATGACTGAGAGAACGTGTCTGCAGCCCTCCCCATCACAGACACGGGCTTTCATAGGGTGTGTGTGTGTGTGTGTGTGTAACCCTGGGAGCAATGCTTTAGTTCCTCTTGCAGCCTGTGAGGGAGTAGACTTCTGAACCCTTCAGTTCATGGAGCTATTTATTTTTTAAAATCATTTTATTGGAGGCCCATAGCTCTTTTTTCTTTTTAAAAAATACTTTTATTGGGGCTCTTGCATCTCTTATCACAATCCATACATTCCTCCAATGTCAAGCCCATTTGCACATATGCCGCCATCATTATTTTCAAAGCATCCTCTTCCCACTTGAGCCCCTGATATCAGCTCTCCATTTCTTCCCCCAAGCACCCTTGATAAGTTAATTATTTTTCTGTCTTACATCCTCCTCCGTTGTCCCTCACCCACTCTTCCTTTATTCGTCTCTTATCTCAGTCCACACAGCCATCCACTGTGTCAAGCACATTTGTACATTTGTTGCCATCATCATTTTCAAAACATTTTCTTTCTACTGAGCCCTTGGTTTCAGCTCCTCATTTTCCCTTCCTTCTCCCTCATGAACCCTTGATAACTCCCTTCACCCATTTTTCTGTTGTCCGTCCCCCTGGGAGGAGGGGGTTATATGTAGATCATTGTGATTGGTTCCCCCTCTTTCCTCCCACCTTCCCCTTCCCCTGGTATGGCTACTCTCAATATTGGTCCTGAGGAGTTTATCTGTCCTGGATTCCCTGTGTTTTAGCTCTTACATGTACCCATGTACATGCTCTGGTCTAGACAAATTTGTAAGGTTGAATTGGGGCCATGATAGTGGGGGGAGTGGGCATTAAAGAACTAGAGGAAAGTTGTTTCATCGGTGCTATACTGCACCCTGATTGGCTCATCTCTTCCTTGTGACCCTTCTGTAAGGGGATGTCCAGTTGTCTACAGATGGGCTTTGGGTCTCCACTCTGCACTTCCCCTCATTCACAGTGATAGGATTTTTTGTTCTGGGTCTTTGTTGCCTGTTACCTGATCCCATCCACACCTCATGATCACAGAGACTGGTACGTTTCTTCCATGTGGGCTTTGTTGCTTCTGAGCTAGATGACCACTTGTTTACCTTCAAGTCTTTAAGATCCCAGACACTATATCTTTTGATAGCTGGGCACCATCAGCTTTCTTCACATTTGCTTATTCACCTGTTTGTCTTCAACGATAGTTTCGGGAAGGTGAGCATAATGGAATGCCAGGTTAATAGAAGAGTGTTCTTGTGTTGAGGGAGTACTTGAGTAGAGGCTCAATGTCTGTCTACTACCTTAATACTTAACATATATGTGCATAGATCTATTTCCCTATCATTATATATATAAATATATTTACATATGTACCTGCCTGTATTTAGACCTCTATAAATGCCCATTTGCCTATTTCTTTCTTCGATTTCCTTTTACTAACCTCTTGTCCCACTATCATGTTCAGCCTTCATTTGGGTTTCACAAATCCTCTTGGTTATATTGCCCTTGATCAAGCCCTACCACGCATCCTATGCCCTCCTTGCCATTAATTTGAGATCACTTGTTGTTCCCTTGTCCTGGGTTTATTAACACCCACTTTCTTTCCCCACCTCCTCCTCTCGTATGTCCTTCCCAGAACCATTGGTCCTGTTGTTTTCTCCTCTGGATTGCTTATCCCACCTATCTTATCTAGACAGACCTGCAGAGACAATAATAAGCACAAAAACAAGACAGAGCGAAACAAAACAAAAAAAGAAAACCAAACGACCATAAAAAGGCCTATAAATAGTTCCAAGTCTGTTTGCTGACCTTTAGGAGTGTTTTCTGGTCGAGTCTGATAGGGTGCCCAAGCCCTGGCCCCAAAGTTTATTTTTGGCCTTCCCCAAGGACTTGATTGCTCCCCTTGCTGCTCTGTTGCACACCCTTAGTGTTTCACCCAGGTGTGGTGGGGTCAGATCGGACACAATTCCCGCACTGGGTCTCCAGTGTTGTTCCCACAGTGCTATGGGTCAGTGAGGGACATTGTGTCTCGTGGTGGGGCCGGCCCTATGGTCCTCTGTGCATTGTCTGCTCTGAGCAGGAATATCATCCTCGGGGCTTGGTGGGCCGGCATGTGCTCCACTCTCCTTCCCTTTTCTTTTGCTCCCGTGTGCTCTGATCAGACGAGCCCCTCCCTCTGAGCAGTAGCTTCATTGCTGTCCTCTGAATTCTTCTGGGGCATGGATGGTTAATTAAGGACCAGTCACTGAGTTCTGTGAGCCTTTTGGAGACATTCAGCTGTCTGCTAAGGATTGGCTGAACCCCCCACCTATATGCTTAGCAACATGCGGGGGCCAGAGACCCGCTCTGATCCCTCAGGAATTGTGTGGTCTTGCTGGGAAGCAAAGCAAGGGGCAGGTGCGGAGCGAGCGCCAGGGTGCAGGACACGGTGTTAGGACGGGGAGAGCAGCGTGGCCTGGGGGTGTCACAGAGGGCCCATGCCTCGGTGCTAGGCAGAGCGGGTGGCAATCCAAGGGTAGGAGTTGCCTAGACAAGACCGGCTGGCAGGCGTGGAAAGGAGGACCCAGGACCAGAGCAAGCCTCATTAGAAGGGAAAGCTCACTTGGGAGCTGTGGGCACAAGGTGAGTCTGGGTGGCATTGTCCCTATGAGCACGTACAGAAATGCCATAGAAAGACCTCTGGACGCAGCCTTGTGATGGCAGAGGCTGGACTCTCTGTCGTTGACCCTCCAGGGGCCACGCCAGCCTGGGACTGGAGCAAGGAGGCCCCTGAAGTGTGTGAGGTTGAAGGAGAGGGGTGCCGACGCCAGCCCTCCCCTCGCCCCACCTGCCCCACTGCCTTGTCTGCTACAGGTGAACGAACTACAGAACCTGACCAGTGCAGAAGTCATCGTGCCTCGGGAGCAGACGCCAGACGAGAATGAGGAAGTTATTGTCAGGATCATCGGGCATTTCTTCGCCAGCCAGGTGAGGGACCTGCTCCCCCAGCCGCCTTTCTGTTCCTGTGTGTACGTGGGGGACCTGGTCCGGGCTGTGGGCTCCCTCCCCTAAGATAGAAACTCTGCTTGCTGCTTTCTGGATCTTCAACCATTTTGACGGCCTGCATTCTGTCCTTGAGGAGGGTCAGACTTTGGGGTCCAGCCCTTGGTCAAAGCCAGCGAGTTCCATGTCCCCTGAAATGCCTAAGTTCTCCAGTCTCGGTCACAGCCTCTCTCCCAGCCAGGAGGCCCTGGGGCCCGATGCTCCCATCCCGGGCTCAGTACGAATTGTTGCTTCTTCCCTTCCAGTTTCCCATCACACCCCACCCTCTCAGGACACACTGCCCCATCTCTGTCCTTTCTTTCTGGAAAGGCTAGTGCCTCTGTCCCAAAGCCTCCTCCTCCTCGAGGCTTCTGTTGATGGGTCTGAGACGAGGCGAGACAACGGCCTGAGCTTACACTGAACGTCTGTCTCCGGGTCCACTTGCTCCCCTTCTCACCAAGACCCCTAGTCCCTAGTCCTCATCCACTGCAGGAGGGGCCCCTGCCCAAGCTGCTGCCCCAGCCCAGGCCCCTGACCCAAGAATCCCCGCTGCCCAAGCCCCCCATCCCAGCCATGCAGTGTGCCCTGGGAATAGGTGGGTGGAGCCAGCTCCCTGCAAGGGTTCAAGCTTCCCGAAGGTTCTGGAGGGGGAGAGGGAGGCCAGTGTCTCCGCCAACTGTTTTAGAGAGAGTGGCCAGTTTGTCCCTTCCACCCCTCCCGTCACATCCCTCTTTCCCGGCCATCACGAGGCCGCCATCACTTGGGCAAGAAGTGGCTGGCAGCACCCCTGGGAGGGGACGCAGGCTGTTGGCCTCCACGAGACACTCTGGTTACTGGTCGGGGAACTGGTGGGGGAGGGGGGCTGCTCAGGGAGCAGGAGGGCTTCTCCACAGGGTTTCCAGGCAGAAAAGTCCAAGTATCGCCCTCCCCCCTCCCCAGCCCACTGCTTGTCCTCAGACCCCGGTTCCTTCTCTTTCCCACCACACCCCCCCTCACCGGCAGACCGCACAGCGCAAGATCAGGGAGATCGTACAGCAGGTGAGGCAGCAGGAGCAGAAGTACCCTCAGGGAACCGCCTCCCCGCGAAGCAAGTGAGGCCCAGGCCCGCCCGCCCGCGGGACAACGGATGAATGTAGCCCTTCCAACACCGGCGGCGGCGAGCGAGACCAAACCCACAGCAGAGCGGGCGCACACCAAAGACCACCCTGCGGAGCGAGAGACGCCGCCCAGGGAGGCCCTGGGTACCAGGGCCAGGAGGGAGGGCAGGAGGTCAGACCAGCTCACCAGAATGCCCGCACCCACGCAGGGCCGCCCGGCCCGGCCTCCAGAGCCTTCTCAGGCTTCCCGCACCCCGCTCTCCCCGACGCTCTCCCTCTGAGTTGAACTAACAGGGGACCGTGTTCAGAGCCCAACAAAACCCACACGCCATTCTCGGTACTTTTCATTCTGGAGTCCTCGCTGTACATGTGTGTACATATTAGAAGGAAAGAGGGGCAGATACGTGGCCTGTGGTTACACAGGGCGCCTGCAGTGCTAATATATTTTAGAAATAATATATCAAGTAACTCGACTAACTCCAGCCTTTTAATCGATTAAGTTTGTTTGTTCGTTTCTGTCCTTTATAAAGAGAAAGCAGGCTCTTCTAGACTGTAAAGAATAAAGTCAAGTCGTTCTCTGGGAGGCCTGCTGGGTGTCGTAGGGACTTTGAGGCCCCCCACACCCAATTGGAATTCACCCTGAGGGGGTCTCGTCCGCAGGATGCTCTCAGCAGTTATAGATCACCTGTGTACATCACCAGACGGGACACTGTCTCTGCGGAGGGAAGGCCCTCTGTCTCTTCAGCCTGCCCTGCTCACCGATCCAGTTCTCTTTGCTTCACGGGGTTTTAACTGGTTTTGCATTCTGCTCTGTAATGCTCTGTCTCTCTCTCTCTCTCTCCTGCCCCTGCCCCTGCCCTCCTCCTGCAACCCCTTCTTACTCCCCTCACCCTCCATCTCAGTGCCCGTCCCCACACACCCCCAGCCCCCAGGCAAAGCAGTGCTCTGAGTATCACATCACACACAGCAACAAAAGCGACACACACAGACCAGCCTCCACTTACCCCTGGCTACTCCAACCAGAACGAGAGCCCGTGGTACTTGTCCTGGCATCCGGAAGAGGGGACAGGGACCCGCCAAACCAGCCAAACCTAGGAAAAGCCCACCAAGAAGGACAGTCTCTTTTGTCTTTGTAACATTCTGGTGGACGCATCATCGATATTTGGCGAAACGATTTCTTTCTTTTGCAAAAAAGTGGAGGAAAATAGCTATTGACGAGAGGCCGTTGGCCCTGGGCGTTAAATTTACAGATTTTTTTAAATGAGAAAAACACACACATGAAAGCTACCTCAGGTGTTTTATACCTCAGCACCTTGCTCTTGTGTTTCCCTTAGAGATTTTGTAAAACTGATAGTTGGAGCATTTTTTTATTTTTTTAATAAAAATGAGTTGGAGAAAAAAAAAAAACCCAAGATACCAACAGCCAGCCTGGAGGAGGTGACCGTCCAAGTGTGCGTGACTGCTCTGAACTGTCTTCCGCTAGCCAAGAGCCTTCGCGGCCTTCTTGTGGACAGCCCTTGAGAACATGCAATCCCAGAAAGGATGGCAGAGAACCAAGGGAGAGCGCGAATGCTGGCGACGTGCTGAGCCTCCGCGGGTGCTCGTCAGGCTCTGAGCAAGCACTGGTTTCTGTGAACAAGCCACTACACCGCCAGACTGCAATGCCAGTTTCCTCTACTGCAAACAGTGTTCTGTGACAAAAATGACAAAAAGAAAAAAAAAAAGAAATATATCCAGCTAACCAGGTCCTGGTGTCCGTCTCTTGTTTTACTAAGCATGACCTCTTCCCAAAGGGTCAGCCAGGCCCAACCTTGGTGCCTTTGCCAGGAAAGCAGAGCTCAGCGCTGCTCCGGAGCGGAGAAGCTGCCGGGGGAGCCTGGCCCCCAGCCAGCCAGTGTTCGTGTGGAGGCTGCACTGGGGCAGTGCTTCTAAGTGTGGGCCCTGTCAGGTTTTACAGAGACGAGAAACAGAGGGAGACTTTTCGTTCCGAGATTAACAGGGAGGTGAGGTTTATAGGGAGCAGGAACCCGAAGGACGTGAGGTGAAAGGGGTGTGGGATAGCCGCATAGAGACAGGTAAGAGCTGGCCCTTTGTCTAAAGCCAGAGAAGTAACTAACCTAAAGGGTACAGCGACCACGGGAGCCACTATTACAGAAAGGAGGAGAAAGTCAGGCTGAGTCTCCTCGTAACAAACTACAGCAGTCGGGCGAGGAAAGAGTTAACGGGGTCTTCCCGGGCTGTTTCTAATGCAGAGAGCAGTGTGTCCAGCCAGCAGGTGAGCAAGTAGACGCTGAGAAAGGAACTCAGAGTGAGAGAGACAGACCTGTCTGCTCACAGCAGAATCAAGAGAGCGGACAGAGTCTCAGAGTGGGTATTTAAGTCTTTGGGGTGTCTATAACTCCTAGACAGCAGGGTTCCCTCCATCTTTCTGGTTGGTGTGGTTAACTCCAAGGGGCCGGGGTGCCAGCTTTGGCGGACTGATGTCACTTAATGGGGCAGGAAGATGGGCGGAGGAAGCTTTGTAAACAGAAGCAATGTCTGCTGTCCTTAGTAACGCTGGCACCGGACCCCAGAGGTCCCAGGCCAGGGCCACCAGTATCACCTGGAAACTGAGTAGAAATGGCAGGTTCTCAGGTACACCTTGAGTCAGAAATCCTGGGGCTGAGGCCTCTCACTCCATCTGTGTTTCAACAAGCCTTCCAGCCAATTCTGTAGGCGCTCAAGTTTGCGGATTTCTGAACTAGAGGAATGGATTGCCTGTCAAGCTAGGTAAGACCTGGTACCCATCTTTAAGTGGCTGAAAGCATTGCCAAGGGAATCGTTTGTGAAGGTAGGGTGTACTCTGCCCGACCATTCAAGGGAAGAGGTCCTTCCCCTCAGGAGGGGAGCACCGTCAGCAAGCAGCCCCTTAGGCTGGAGGAGGGCAAGGTGGGAGACCTGGGCCGTCAACATGCTAGGAAGAGGCTGGGCGAGGGAAGCCCTTCACCAGCTGTAGACTGTGTAGAGAGAGGCCCGTAGGTCTATGAAGAGGCAGCTGGTAAAAGGCCAAGCAATCTGGGGAATAAAGAGCTAATATTTGCACCAAAACAAAAAACCCATTACCATTGAGCAGCTCGCAGGACAGAGCAGGTCTGCCCCTGGGCTCTCCAGGACCCAGAAACCTCTGGAGGCAGGCCATCACATCCGTGTCACCTTCTAAGTAGCAGCCAGGCTCTTTAGCCCCGCACCACCAAAGCTCTGCCACAAACCAGACTGGGCACCCTCAAGGCAATTCTGAGCCGTGAGCCTGCAGCACCGCAGAGCTGCCCCATGTGGTTTCCTAGACCAGCGGTTCTCAACCTGTGGGTCTCAACCCCTTTGGAGGTCAAACGACCCTTTCACAGGGGTCACCTGATTCATGACAGTAGCAACATTGCAGTGATGAAGTAACAACGAAAATAATATGGTTGGGGGTCACCGCCACATGAACTGTATGAAAGGGCCGCGGCACCAGGAAGGTTGCGAACCCGTGGGTTTGGTGACACAAGTGGTTACCCGTTTGATAGCAACTCAGGTAGTCAGTTTCAGTCACCCGGAACTGCCTTAAAGGAAAAGCCTGCTGATGGGCTTTGAAAGGTCAGATCCCACAGAGCTCGGTTGTACCCCAAACACCCGGGTCCCCATGAGTTTGAAGGGACTCAAGGCAACTCAAGAACAGCGGTGGCTGGGGGACCCCTGGGTTCCAAAGTAGCAGTTTTGAGGCTTCCTGAATTCCTTCCCCTCTGTCGTGATGAAGCCCCACCGCCTGAGTGTGCCGCTGAGAGTAGCGGCCCCGTGTGTCCCCTGGGGTAGCCGCATGCCCGATGGACAGCCCACGAGGAGCCAGAGTTGCAGGCACGCAGGGCTGCCCCTGGGGTGCTGTGATCTTGTCAGACAGTGGGGCAGAGAAAGGGCCCACCTTTCAAGGCACACAGTAAAGACACGCCCGTGGGTTCAGTAGTAACTGTCAAGATGAGGGATTTCCGTAGGAGACCGGAGACACAGAACCTGCAAGAAGGACCCTCATGCTACATCGCTTCACCTGATTTTCCAGGTGGCAGGGTTCGGGGTTGGATGTCGGGCTGTTAGAGGGCCCATTAAAAGCAAACAGCTACATAAGGCCCTGACTTTAATTCTTCACAGCTGCAGCTCGCTCAGGAAGAGAAAATTACGGCCAACAAAGCTGTGTTCTAAGTGGACTGCCTGGATTCTCCAGGACCGCAGCAATTAGAAGGCCAGGCACTGACCGTCAGGAACACGGGCAGCACCCCAGTGGCAGGCATGAGTCACGCCGGCTGAGGAGGCAGCGGCTGCTGCAGCAGCAGGGTAGTTCAGGCACGGCTGGACAGCCAGTTCCGACAGTGGCAGGGACCCCGAGGCCGCCCCTGGCCAGGCCACCCCGCAGATGCCACCGCACAGCCCAGGCAGGCAGCTCCATGGGCTAAGTAGTGGCAGATCCCTGGGCCAGGCAAGCTCTCCATGGGACAGCAGCTCGGCTCTCAAGACAGCCACCAGCCAGCAGGTGACCCCGCCCCTTAGTAACCAGCTCTGCTTTTATTTTTAATTTATGTATTTATCTTAAAACCTTAAAAAAAATTTTAAATCATTTTATTGGGGGCTCATACAACTCTTATCACAATCCATACATACATCAATTGTGTAAAGCACATTTGTACATTCGTTGCCCTCATCATTCTCAAAACATTTGCTTTCCACGTAAGCCCCAGGCATCAGCTCCTCATTTTCCCCCCTCTCTACCCGCCTCCCTTCCCTCAGGAACCCTTGATAATTTACAAATTATTATTTTGTCATATCGTACACTGTCAGATGTCGCCCTTCACCCACTTTTCTGTTGTCCATCCCCTAGGGAGGAGGTTATATGTAGATCCTTGTAATCGGTTCCCCCTTTCCACCCGACCTTCCCTCCTCCCTCCCAGTATCGCCACTCTTAGCACTGGTCCTGAAGGGATCATCCGTCCTGGATTCCCTGTGCTTCCAATTCTTACAACAATATATACATCAATTGTATCAGGTACATTTGTACCTAGGTTGGCATAATTTCCAAAACATATCCCTGCCCCAGCCACCACATTCCAGTCCGTCTTCCCCTCTCTGAGGTCAGTCTAGAACAGCGGTTCTCAACCTCTGGGTCATGACCCCGTTGGGGGTCAAACGAACCTTTCACATCGGTCGCCTGATTCACAACAGTAGTAAAATTACAGTAGCAACGGAATTTTGTGGGTTGGGGGGGTCCCCACCACATGAGGAGCTGTATGAAAGGGCCGCAGTGTGAGGAAGGTTGAGAACCGCTGGTCTAGTTTCATGGAACCACAGGAAAAGACAGCAAAGGGCTTACTAGCCGCGTCTACAGAACGTACCCTTTCAGACGAGGACGCAGATGGGGTGGTGGGAGTGGGGACGGGCACCAACACAAGCACAAGGAAAGCCAGTCCCTGACATCGGGGCGGCCACATCAGCGCCAGAACCAGACTGCTGCTTAGACCATGTATTAGTCTGGGTACTTTAGAGAAACAAGTCCACAGAAACTCATGTATAAGAGAGAGTTTTATATAAAGGTAAGTGCACATCAAGAACACATCCCAACCCAGTGCTGCCCAAACTCACAAGTCCAACATTAACCTGTATGCCTGACACCAATCTACAAAGTTCTCCTCCATCTCACAAAACATACGCAATGATGCCGACTGCAGGAGGAAAGCCGAGTCAGTGAACGTGTAAACATCTCAGTGCTGGTAGGGGTCTGCACACGACTGCACCAGCACCCAGGGCTGCATCAGGGTAGGTCCACGTGGCTTCTCCTCAGGGATGTCTTGCAAGTGCTGAGCCTTGCCAGCTGAAGCAGAGAACTGACTAAAGCAGCTGCACCCTGGTCCAACCATCAGAAAGCAAGAGACCCATGAACTAGAAAGGCGAGGCTCACCTAGCCATTTATCCCTCCGTCCTTCAATTAATCCAACGTGTTTTTCAGCCAGGTTGGCACAATCAACTAACTACCTCAGACGGGAAGTAGTCCCTGAGAGCAAACTAACTCACTTACACCTGTTATAGTCTTTGTTATAGTTAGCAGCCAACCAGCACCTAACTGTACCAAGACAGACAGCTAGACACACACTGGTAGAGTGTTACTTTGTTTTTCATAGAATAAAAATTCAAATGGAGTACTGGCCAAAGTAGTAAGTTACTTACAAAACAAACAAACAAAGGTGTCTCTGTTCCAGTAGTCAATGCCAGAGAAAGAGCTCTGAGAAGACAAGGGGCTGAAGCTTTATTTCTATACCTTAGTCCAGGTGCCTCTCACACTTAAGGGTTTCAGAAAAACTCCATTTGTAAGGATTCCGATAGGCACATCCCTTTGTTACTGTGCCTCAATAAAACCCAAACCAAACCGATGGTCATCGAGTCGATGCCGACTCACAGCGACCTGATAGGACAGGGTAGAACTGCCCCTGTGAGTTTCCCAGACTGTAACTCTTGACGGGAGTGGAAAGTCCTGTCTTTCTCCCAAGGAGCAGCTGGTGGGTTTGAACTGCGGACCTTGTAGTTAGCAGCCCAACAAGTAACCACCCTCCGCCACCAGGGCTCCTCTGTGTGTAGACTAAGGAGATTTGTGAGGTCATCAGCCCAGTCCATTTCAGAACATTTTCTTCTTCCTGGAACTCACTGTGGTTATCGCCCTCCAACCTCCCATGCCAGG